TTAGGCGCCGCGAAGTAAGCGGGCATTGGCTAGTATATAATAAAAAAAGTTTCGATAGCATCGATAGTGCAGCTAGACTATCGCAAACTATCAAGTAGCCCCACTATCGATAGTTTGACAGCTCTATTTTGTGGTATGTACCAGAATTTCGATACCAAACCGCAAAACGCTACTCGCGAGTAGCGTCTGCGGTGCAGCGCCTATGCGTATACAGAAGCGACGCAACGAATTTCGATTCAGTCTGCTATTCGTAATTTTAGCGCGTGATTTCCTCCTATAAATGTAAAAATATCCGAAAATTCCGAATTATGTAGCGCCTTTGTGGTCGCTGGGACTAGTAGGACGCAGTCGATGAAGCTACAGACCTGCTAAAATACGGCACTGGATAGCGACAGGATGATGTCGCCGCAACATCATCTGTACGACGAGGCCCAAATGCTCCCTATTAAGGAGCATAACACAATGCTCTGTAAGCTATTCCTTGTGGAAAAACCCTCTCCACCGCACTTCCGAAAGCATAAAACAACCTCTGGACCCGACAGCAATCTCGAGTTATTTAGCCTCTCGAACTGTGAATGCTGTTCTGGGCACACAACTACCAGACGTGGACGAGACAGAGCTTTGTCTGTCTCAGGAGACTCGGACCACAATAGCCCAACTTCACTCTGTCTACTACAGCAAGTTAAACTAATAGCTGAGCATAATAAATGCAGATGTGGCAAACGAATGCCTGGCATGCGGAGAAACACCCCATGACTCGAAACATTTCGTCGCATGCCCGCTGAATCCCACTCTACTAACGCCTCTTTCCTTATGGACGACAACGATTGAAGAACTAACCGGTCTGGACGGGGTTGTTGTATCCGCTACAACAACAGCAACTCTTGAATATACACATTAGTGAAATTAAAAATGGAAATTTCAGATTGTACCTAATAAAAGTTACATCGTTCATTTGTAGTTTTTTTTATTAATTTTATTTAAAACTTGAATACAAAAGATGAATGTACTTTAAAGGTGATTAGGTTTTTTTAATTGAGCCTATGTCTATAGACTATAGTCTAATGGGAATCAAAGAAGCGTTGTTTTTGTCTAGTTTTGACTACTAAACTTCTATAAAACAACAGGAAAAGTCTTCTAATTTATCCGATTCATTTTAATAAGTGCAGGAAGTCTAGAGAAAATAATCAAACTGCCGTAAGTAACTTAGAAAGCATTTTAAATAGTATATTTTCAGAAATCGAAAAGCGGATATGGGTCAAATAGATATAGTTCTCAACTAAAGAAAATATGAAATTTGAAGACATCCTAGACACTGGACTGTATGGGCGAATAAAGGCTAGTTTTCATTATGTCATATTTTGACACAATTTTCTTTCCTTTATCCATACCTTTATCGTTGATATTATGGGCCAAAATCTTACAAATAGCCGCTTTGNATGTCATATTTTGACACAATTTTCTTTCCTTTATCCATACCTTTATCGTTAATATTATGGGCCAAAATCTTACAAATAGCCGCTTTAGCAGCGCATGTACACGCCTGAAGGCCTGTTCTGATCTAAATCAATCAAAATACCATTTTTTAGTCGCATTTGAAAATTTTTTTCACTTATTCCTTTTGACCACTTTTCCTTTAGAATTGTTTATTCTTCAAAATAAAGGCGAAGCTTCTCCCGTGCCTATAAGTAAATATATTAGCACGGTAAAGGTAAAAGAAAAAAAGCTAAAAATGCATCTGATCAAAAGATGATTGTACCTAAAATCCAGTGACTGTACCTAATGTACCTTTAGGTCAACAAACGTCGGAAAATGGTACAATGGTACCTACTTTTTCATCCCTGATACATATAACCACCATTTATATTTTCTTGGCATAAAAACTTTTTTTTTCAGGTTTTATTGGAATTTCGATGTCACGAGGGCATGATTTAAAATACAATTGGCCTGACTTTTTAGCATCCCAGACTAACATTCAAAGAAGAAAATCGGAGGTACCTGACAGTTAGAAAAAATACATCGTTCCGGGAACCGTGTTTCTTTTCCAAAAAAATGTGGATCATTTGTGGATCGCAAAGGATTTGTGTAAAAATTGCGTGCACCTGAATTTATAGCAACACATCCCAAACGCTCCAAATGGACGACAGAGGGACTTTAATATTAGTTCCATCTTTGTGAAATAAGTTTATTTTATTTACTTAATTAATATCTATGCATGAACATGTGGCATTTAAAGAAATAAAAAATCGTAAATACATATTTTAAATGCAAAATCACAAAAAGAAGTATTTCATAAAATTCAAGGTCATAAACTAACCTTCAATGGCGTAAACGATCAGGATGGCCTTAAAAAGGCTGTGCAACTCCATTTTTTTTGAAGAATTGTTAGGCTTTCCATTACACTGTTAATACATCATCAATAATATTACTGTTGCTATTTTTGTTAGTTATACGGCTTTTTAGTTGTTGCAGTTCTGTTATAAATTTTAGAATCTCAGCGAAAGATAACTCTTTAACACTGCTCCAATAGAATTTTTTGCTCATTGATCTTTAATTATTTTTGCTTTAAGATGTTTTCCATTATAAATGTTTAAATTTGTTTCCAAAGCCAGTTGATGGAGATTACTAATCAAATGCTTACATTTTATACCGAAGATTGTTGTGCGAATGGCAGCTATTATGTAATATTTTCTTAATAGTTTCCTGCTACAAATTGTGATTCCACAAGCAGAGGATGCTTTTGAAGGTACATACTTAAACACTTATTAAAGTCAAAAGGATATTAGCGATGTCCTGTCAAACAAATCGTTGTTGATAGCACCGTCCTGTGGCCTAGATTTACTTCTCGCGCGTGACTGTGTTTTCGGTAATTTGTGTTATTGTCTAGGCAACCTGTAATACACAAAAAAAGTATAAACTAATTATATGTATTTATTCATGTGTATAAGCATTTTTTGTATATAATTATGTATTTGGATATATATTAAGAACACACCGCACAGTGGGCCGCCTCATACAAGTTAGCCGGAAAAAAAATATTTTATTGCTTCAGGTGCTTAGATTTGTTGTAAAAAGTGGCCATACAAAAGTTTACCTTGATCAAGGATCGATTAGATGACACCAGAGGTCCTTTGAGGAGAATTTGTAGCAAAAACGGTATATTGAACGTATCTATATATAAATACGCCACAATAAAATTTTGAACCCCCTTTTTTGAGGGCACCGTTTTCTTGAAAGGATATAACTTCCTCTAATCCAGAAATGTTAACCCCATTATACAGGGGGCGTGGCATCTGACATACAGACTATAATGTAAAAACTGATGTATCTCTACAACCAATCGCGCTGGTTAACTGAAACTTAGCACGGATGCATAAATTGTAAATACCCTACTTACGGCGAAAAATGATAGGTATTAGAAAAGGGGGAGTGGCACTTCCAGTTCGCTCCAGTTCCAGGAATCGCTTATGCTAACGTTCTGCAATTTAAAACAGCTACATATGTTATCAATTTCGTACTTATGGCGAAAAGTGGTAAGTAATGGAACATACAAACTGAAATTCTCAATCGCTTAACTAACATCCTTTCCGCTTTTGCTAACATCCTGAATTTTGAAACAGCTACATATGTTAACAATACCGTACTTATGGCGAAAAATTGTAGGTTTTGGAAAAGGGGGCGTAGCATCTCCCATACAAACCGAATTTCAAATATCGCTTATCTATGGAATATCGCTTTTATGATGAAAAGTAGTTTGTATTAGAAAGGGGGATGTGGCACCTCGCATACCAAATGCAATTTCCATATCGCTTATCTCTGGAACTACTTATGAGAGAGGTTATACACCTATATCTACAAGTCAGAAAATGGCAAGAACCATTCAATTAGGAAGAATTTTTTCCCAGATTTCAAAATTGCATTGAATGATTGTTATTTTGTGGAAAGGTTTTTACAAGGATTTTTCTTCCGATAGAGGGCTCAGGGATTGAGAGCTATCCTAAAGAATCCTATTTATGGTCACATTTGCTTCATCTTTTGAATACTTGGTACCCAAACGTGTGATGCAAAAAATTGATTTTTGGCCCAGTCCTGACAAAACCCGTGTGAACACCTTCGAGGTACTTTCTTAACTTCTACCGATTCTGATGAAGAGAAAGCGGAGTTCATATAGATGTTCGAAATATAGTTTTTAACCTTCCCAAGGGCGCTGAGACGAATGTAATCGAAAAACGTTTTTACAGTTTAAATAGTTTTAAAGCTTTACACTGCAAAAAAACGCAATTTCAAGTTTGTATGTAAAGTTGTTTAATATATTCAATTATTTTTTAATTAATATATAACTTATAACTACATATTTGTTTTTATATATACATTTTTTTTAGTTATGTCTGCGAAATGTCACATTCGGAATGTGAACTTTCATCTGCTTTATCAGTCGCAACTCTTGGGTAACTATCTATGACCATTTTTTCGTTNGTTTTTATATATACATTTTTTTTAGTTATGTCTGCGAAATGTCACATTCGGAATGTGAACTTTCATCTGCTTTATCAGTCGCAACTCTTGGGTAACTATCTATGACCATTTTTACGTTCAGACTCTGCTTGATATAATATGGAATTTGACATTGCTGCAAGGTCGTGCAAAGCCTGGCTTAAGCAGTATCTAAAAGTAGGAATCTTGAAGAAACTCAAAAGAAAATTTAAAAACGTACATGACAGTAGTGTTTAGATTGTCCAAAAAAGTTCGACTTTGTTCATATATTTTTAAGAAAAAACGCCTAATTTTCACACATTACTCTAGCTACTTCCCTCATCACATATTAGTTGTTTTTATTTCATAAAAAAGAGCATCGTTTTCTATGCCAAATACATTATTTTCAGCGTTTTGGCACACCACTGTGATAAACAATACACCACTTTTTAAAAATGTCTATTTAATTTGTGTAATTCTTAGAAAACAAAGTTTCAATTCATCAAATTTGCCCTACAAAAACTATTAAACTGGGCTAGTTGTTTCTATGTAACTAGCAGACCCGGCGAACTTCGTCCCGCCCAAAAATAATTTTTTCATTTAAACATTTGGTTTAACGTTTTCGCCAGCAATTCACGTTCACGTTTGGTTTTGTGGTCGACATAAGGCATATCCTTCATTGCCATATTAAATAACTGGGAAGAAGTCTTTAGGTCAACAATGTTCCTGTTCGATGGTGAATCGTCTTTGAATCTGTATAGTATAGTTGGTTGCAATTTCCAAACTGGAAAATATCATTGGTCCTCCGAAATCCAATACCTTAATATCTTATAATTTTAAGCGTTCATCAAGAATTGTCTTTATTCTGTTTAGTCGCCGTAAAGCAAGGACCGCAGTGGTTCTGATGGTTGATTTAACGGTGGTAATTTGACTTTGATCCCTGGTGCCTCCGAATGACTGCACTTGACGATTTTTAGCAATAAATCGGCNCACATTACTCTAGCTACTTCCCTCATCACATATTAGTTGTTTTTATTTCATAAAAAAGAGCATCGTTTTCTATGCCAAATACATTATTTTCAGCGTTTTGGCACACCACTGNTCTGCTTGATATAATATGGAATTTGACATTGCTGCAAGGTCGTGCAAAGCCTGGCTTAAGCAGTATCTAAAAGTAGGAATCTTGAAGAAACTCAAAAGAAAATTTAAAAACGTACATGACAGTAGTGTTTAGATTGTCCAAAAAAGTTCGACTTTGTTCATATATTTTTAAGAAAAAACGCCTAATTTTCACACATTACTCTAGCTACTTCCCTCATCACATATTAGTTGTTTTTATTTCATAAAAAAGAGCATCGTTTTCTATGCCAAATACATTATTTTCAGCGTTTTGGCACACCACTGTGATAAACAATACACCACTTTTTAAAAATGTCTATTTAATTTGTGTAATTCTTAGAAAACAAAGTTTCAATTCATCAAATTTGCCCTACAAAAACTATTAAACTGGGCTAGTTGTTTCTATGTAACTAGCAGACCCGGCGAACTTCGTCCCGCCCAAAAATAATTTTTTCATTTAAACATTTGGTTTAACGTTTTCGCCAGCAATTCACGTTCACGTTTGGTTTTGTGGTCGACATAAGGCATATCCTTCATTGCCATATTAAATAACTGGGAAGAAGTCTTTAGGTCAACAATGTTCCTGTTCGATGGTGAATCGTCTTTGAATCTGTATAGTATAGTTGGTTGCAATTTCCAAACTGGAAAATATCATTGGTCCTCCGAAATCCAATACCTTAATATCTTATAATTTTAAGCGTTCATCAAGAATTGTCTTTATTCTGTTTAGTCGCCGTAAAGCAAGGACCGCAGTGGTTCTGATGGTTGATTTAACGGTGGTAATTTGACTTTGATCCCTGGTGCCTCCGAATGACTGCACTTGACGATTTTTAGCAATAAATCGGCCCCAGTGCCACCTTGCATATCCTGTTTTAGAATAGTATTGCCCCTATCGTTACCATTACATATATATCTCGAATATGAGTCAAATCGGATCACAAATACGAATATTGAGTAATAACTCGACTCCGGCGCCTCCTGGTGTTTTATTCACTCACCACTACAAACAATAGCGTTACCCTCGCAGAGGTTCGAGCACATCAATATAGACCTCATTGGTCCTCTCCCACAGGCCGGGGGATACCTGTACTGTCTCACAATTGTCGACCGATACACTCGATGGCCAGAGGCAGTACCGCTCAGGGACATGGCAGCAGAGACGGTCCCGAAAAAACTTGTAAGTATCTGGTTTGCACGTTTTGGCATTCCAGCGCGCATAACTACCGACCAAGGCAGGCAATTCGAGTCACACTTGTTCAACGAATTGTCTCGTATGCTCGGCATCACCCACCTCCGTACGACAGCGTATCACCCACAAGCAAATGGCATCGTGGAACGATGGCATCGATCGCTCAAATGCATCCATCATGTGCCAAAAAAGGTATGATTGGCCAAATCGATTACCGATGATCATGCTCGGTTTGCGCTCTGCATTTAAGCCGGACATCGGTACAACAGCCGCTCAACTCGTCTACGACACGACACTACGCATTCCGGAAGAGTTTTTTGACGAATGTCGTCCTCAACCGCAGTCCGAGTTCGCAAAACAACTTGCCGAGGTAATGCAAGACATACGTCCACCCCTCACAGCAAACCACTACAAAACCAAACCATTCGTATTCAAGCAGCTAGCGGACGCAACTCATGTGTTTGTGCGAAACGACAAGATACGGGCGGTGCTTCAACCACCGTATGATGGACCATATCTTGTAGTGTCTAGACAAAATAAGCACTTCACTGTTCAAATAAACCGCGATAAAATCAAAATCTCCATCGACAGGCTTAAACCGGCGTTCATCGAATATGATAATATCGACGATCCACCGCAAAGGACGACTCAACCGTCGAAACCAGCGCAAGAGTCTACCACGAACACGATTACTCCATCTCAGCGACATCTTGCCACATCAACTCAGCCGATTTTACCCCAAGACACTCCCACAACACGGCATGGTCGAAAAATCAGACTTCCCGTCCGATTTAGGACGTAAAGTCTAGGGGGCAGCACTGTGGCGACCACGCTGAAAACACTGTTCGATGGCAACCTTAATTCGGCTACGAACAACAGGAGAAAGAAGACTGACACTTGACGAACATGACATTCCATTTTTGATAGTCATGCAGTGAACAACACATGTAAATTCGCGTATTAGTAAAAAGCCATTTTTGATACATTTAATAAACTTTAATAAAATAAAACCTAAAATTCCCAAAAGTTTTTGACAATTGGAAGAAATACAACTTCGAAAGTCTTTTTTAAAAGATTTTTCATTTTGCTACGTTAGAACCGTTGCCGAGA